TGGGGAGAGATTACTTTGCTATTTATTTTATTTATGCTGTTTTGCCTCTGAGAGGGAAATGACAAAATACATTAATCAGAATTTCTTTAGCAAGCTCCCTGCAGCCCTCAAAGCATTCTGAAAGGAATCAATATATAAAATGAGATAATTATTTCAGTTTCATGTATTAAAAGGCCCTATATTTTTTCTGCCTATAGAAATGTTGGACTGATCAAACATTTTTAGATGCCAGGTACTGAAAAACAAAAGGGTGCTTTCATCAGAAGAAAAGTAGCTTGCAAACAAGTTGTATGTACCTGTTAATGTATCTTCTGGGGAAAAAAAAATACCATACATGCATGGAAGAGCCTCTCATTATTTCTAGCTGTCGTGAATTAAGATTGTATTTTCCTCTGCTCAAAGTCAGCATTCTTTTGAATGGTAAAGGAGGGTCAATTGGAGAAGCAATATGGCACACTGCACAGTTGTTAGTACCTGCAGACACAGAAATAAATGAGCAAGCTGGCCAAATTTAGGTACAGATATGCAGTTATTTATATGTGAGGCAGGAGCATGGCTTAGGTGCCTAAGCCCAGGTGAGATGCCCTAATTATCTGTCTGGCCTCAAGCTGTGATTTCCAGTCCCTGGGTAGATGTTGGTGGCAAGGCACTGCAAAAATGATGGGATGTGGTCCCTAGACCACTGAGCCAAGCCACTCCACTGACTTGAATAACAGCTTCATATCCTTTCTTATATGAATATATTCATATGGAAATATCTAAACGGAAGTTGCTTCATCTTAAACTGATCAGAACCTGCAGTCTGGCTCCAGGTGAGTTAACTTGGCTGTGCAGTTTGGGTAGCCAATCACTGCATTCAGGGCTATACACACACGCTTGCAAACATCTGACTTCATCTCATTCAGGATCTGATTTGCCTTTCTTCCTCCTGTTAGGCAGCTCCCTGCTGTGGAAACAGTCCCTCCTGCAATCAGTAAAACTTCTTGAAAGATGGGGATCTCTTCCAGTTTCAGAAAGCTTTCTTCCATTCTTCATGGCAAATGTTGTCTGTGTGAGGAAGTTAAGCTAGTTTGGAAAGAGCTTTGGTTGTTACAGATGTAAACATTTTCCAAGCCTCTCACACACTCTTTTTCTACCCATCTTTACTACTGCAATAGGAACCACCCTCACCCAAGCAGCCTGTGCCACTTGCTCACAGCCCTGGCAGAGACTTCCCTGGTTTGGAGTTTACGCAAACAAGGCTGGTAAGGTTTCAGGGTGAACTTTCAATTAAATCCCTAATCCCTGTTGTGAGGGAATCTGTGCTGAAGTTTGAAAGTAGAATTGCATAAAATTAGGTTTGCTGGAAATGTGGCTTGATTCAAAGGTAAGCTTAGTATGAATGCTGGATTCCAACTTCATAAAATGTAGTTGCAAAACCTCATATAGCCTATTTGTTTACTGGCTGATAATAATAAAATGTGTGCAATCATTTTGGACTCTTAATGTTCTTTTTCTTTACGAAATTACAGAAGTTTTATTTCTGCCATTTTCCAAGTTCATAATTTCATTGAAAACATAAAAAAACCCCTAACCTACTGGGAAATACTGATGTTTCTGCTATTACTTTCTAACATACTAGGCTGTGCCTCAGACTAGAAGCCAGCTAGTTCTGGGAGACCCTTATGTTCACGGGTAAGAGTAAGAAGCTTACTCACTTCTGAAAGGAGGTAGGCAGGGTATACCGAAATCCTCTGCTCTTCAGTTGGAATAAGCTTAGTGATTCCTTATGAGATGGAAATGACTATCTGCATTTTGGGAGGTGAGTATTTGCCTCTGAGATGAAAAAAGGTGGTTGCTGGATTTCTATGATGTCTGAATTAGATCATCCCTGGAGTTTTTTTTGGTCCAGAATGGTGTATGTGTTTCCTCTTGCACACAGCTGCACCTTGTACCAAGCCCTGCCTCATCAAGAGGAGTGAAACTGAGCCCATCACTTCTGCGCAGTGCATTTCTAACTCTTAGACACTGACATGACTCAGATCTAAGTGTGCTACCTTTATGGGTGAAAAATGCTAGCTTATAAAAAAAACAAACTTGTTTTTGTTGCCACCAAATGACACCCATATCTTTTTAAAATAAGACGTGGTAATCCATCCTCACTGTGCTCACTGAATTTTACATGAGGAGTATTTGTATCTTACTTAACTGATAGTCTTATTTTGATGTCTTATGCCTTTTACTGGAAAATCTTTTGAGGGGGACATAAATTTTGCTACTGTCTTCAGTAGGGCCAGCTTTTTTCCTTTATTTATAGGACGATACAACACTTCAGCTTTTATGGCCACTGTGAAAAACAATGGTTAGTATGAATGACTGTGAATCACAGGACAATATAGTGATAGGAAGACTAGTTTCCTGTTGCATAGAACAATATTCATTGACCCTCAGACACATAACATTTTCTGAATTGACTTCCATAATTTTAAGTATTGAAAATTATTAGGTTAATTCTTAATATTTGCAACTTTGCTAATAATCTTCTTGTTATTCTCCACATTTTTCTCAACAAAACACAGTCAAAGACTAAGGAAGTGCTTAAAAACCCAGGATGAATTTTTTTTGCACTTATCCAAAACCACGAATGCTTTTCTAAAAAGTTTCTCAATACTCACATTTTGTGCTATTTAAATCAGTCTAAAGGAGACTGGTTTAGTTGAATATTTGCAACTAGGCTAGTCTTTGCTAGGCTGTGTAGGGATGGAGTCAGAAAAGCCAAGGCCCAGCTTGAACTAAACCAAGGGATACCAAGAAGAACAAGGGTGGCTTCTACAGGTACCTCAACAAGAAAAGAAAACTCCAGGATAGCATACCCAGCTACTGAGTGACCCAGACAAGCTGATAAAAACAGACAAGAAGAAGGCTGAGGTACTTAACAACTTTTTTAACTTGGTCTTCTCTGATAACTGCTCACCACACTGCCTTCAAATGTCTGGTTTGGTAGGAGAGGATAACAGAATCACAGAATGGCCTGGGTTGGAAGGGACCTCAAGGATCATGAATCTCCAACCACCCTGCCACATGCAGGGTCACCAACTTCCCCATTTAATACTAGACCAGGCTGTTCTGGGCCCCTTGCAGCCTGGCCCTGAACCCCTTCAGGGACAGGGCATCCACAGCCTCTCTGAGCAGACTGTTCCAGCACCTCACCACTCTCTCTCTGTAAAGAACTTCCCCCTGACATCCAACCTAAATCTCCCTTCCCTCAACTTAAAACCATTTCCCCTTGTCCTGCTGTTATCAACCCTTTCAAAGAGTTGATTCCCCTCCTGTTTTAGGTTCCCTTTAGGTACTGAAAGGCTGCAATGAGGTCACCCCACAGCCTTCTTTTCTGCAGGCTGAACAAGCCCAGCTCTCTCAGCCTGTCTTTGTAGGGGAGGTGCTCCAGCCCCATGACCATCTTTGCGGCTCTCCTCTGGACCCTCTCCAACAGTTCTCTGTCTTTCTCATACAGGGGGCTCCAGACCTGGACCAGTACTCCAGATGGGGCCTCACAAGAGCAGAGTAGAGAGGGACAGTCACCTCCCTGTCCCTGCTGGCCACCCCTCTTCTGATGGAGCCCAGGATTCCATTTGCTTTTCGAGCTGCAAGAGCACACTGCTGGCTCATGTTAAGTTTTTCATCCAAGACTCCCAGGTCCTTTTCTGCAGGGCTAGATCAGAGAAGCAACATCCCTCTCACTGTAAGCGATGATCAAGTTTGTGACCACCTGAGGAACATGAACATCCACAAGTCTATGGGTCCTGAAGAGATGCGTCCCAGAGTCCTGAGGGAATTGTCTGATTTAGTTGATTTAGTTGCTAAGCCACTCTTAATTATATTTGAAAAGTCATGGTCATCAGGTGAAGTCTCTGGTGACTGGAAAAAAGGCAACATCACACCCATTTTTAAGAAGGCTAAAAAGGATGACCCTGTGAATTACTGACCTATTAGTCTCACCGTTGTGCTGGGAAAGATTATGGAGCAGATCCTCCTGGAAGCTATACTAAGGTAAGTGGAAGGTAGAGAGGTACAGTGTACAGGAGAATCAGCATGCCTTCACCAAGGGCAAATCCTATTTGACCAACCTAGTGGCCTTTTATGAAGGTGTCACTGCATCAATGGCTGAGGGAAGAGCCTCTGTTGTCATTTATCTGGACTTCACTAAGGCCTTTGACATGGTAGTCCACAACATCCTTTTCTCCAAATTGGAAATATATGGATTTCATGGATGGACTGTTTGATGGACAAATAAATTGCTTGCAGGATTGAGTCCAGAGGGTGGTAGTTGAAGGCTTTATGTCTGGATGGAGATCACTGCTGAGTGATGTCCCTCAGTGCTCAGTGCTGGGACCAATACTTATCTTCATCAATTACATTGCCAGTGAGGTCAAGTGCACCCTCAGCAATTTTGCTGATGACAAATGGTGTGGGGTGCAGTTGACACACCAGAGGGACGAGATGCCATCCAGAGGGACCTAGACAGGCTTGAGCAGTGGGCCCAGGAGAAACTCATGAAGTTCAACAAATCCAAATGCAAAAATTCCTTGGGGGCAGCCCTGTGGAGAAAGACTTGGTGGTGAACTAGAAGCTGGACATGAGCCAGCAGTGTGCACTTGCAGACTGGAAGGCCAACTAAACCCTGGGCTGCATTAAAAAAGTGGTAGGCAGCAGGGAGAGGAAGGCTCTTGTAAAACACCATCTGGAGTACTGTGTCCAGGCATGTGGCCCCCAGCACAAGAAAGATGTAGAGCTCTTGGAACAGGTCCAGAGGAGGGACACTAAGATGATCAGAGGGCTGGAGCACTTCTATTATGAGAAAAGATTGAAGGAACTGGGCTTGTTTAGCTTGGAGAAAAGAAGGCTCTGGGGAGACCTAATTGTGGCCTTCCAATACTTGAAAGGGAGCACATAAACAAGAGAAGGAATGGCTGTTTACATGGAAGGGGCAATGGTTTTAAACTGAGACAGGGGAGGTTCAGGTTAGATATTAGGAGGAAGTTTTTCACACAGAGGGTGGTAACACTGGAACAGGTTGCTCAAGGAGGTTGTGGATGCCCCATCCCTGGAGGCATTCAAGGCCAGGCTGGATGTGGCTCTGGGCAGCCTATGGGTCTAGTGGTTGGCGACCCTGCACATAACAGGGGGTTTGAAACTAGATGATCTTTGAGATCCTTTTCAACTGAGGCCATTCTATGATTCTGTGATTTGTTAGAAGATCTTTGTTTAATCCCTTGTGAACATATCTAAATCTGAAGGTAAATATCTCACTGGCACGCTGGGGTTTTCAAGTTTGAATAACATCATCTAATACACTGAAAACAGTGTATTAGAATATGAAATATATTCTGAAATATATTACTTGCATTTTCTTCTGCATATTTTTGCATTGCCAATATTCAGAAGTTTTTGTATACATACATTGTGAAACCAAAATCATCAGATCTTCGTATTCAGGTATTATTCTTCTGTTAGGTCAAATTCACTGGTGTTTTTTAGTAGCAGAAAACATAAGAAATACAGCTTAAATTCATAGACAGATTTGAACATCCTAAATAAGCTAACAACTTATCTATTATAATCATAGAATCACAGAACAGTTAGGTTGGAGGGGAGCTCCCTTGACCGCTTGTCTGCCCCTTTTTTGCTGCAGTCCAGGGTATGGTAGGCTTTCTGGCCTGCAAGCACAGCTGCTGGCTGGTGTTGAACTTTTCATCTGCCAGTCCCCCAAGTCCTTCAACACGGGGCAATTTAAAATAATGTATCCTTTTGCTTAGGAAAAGCAAGGAGGCTGAAAATTGCTCTGCTCACTGTGTTATTGGGATGAAGGCAGGATTTGCTTTAAGCCATTACTATGAAGTGACTGGACTAAGGGCTACGTCCCTGGAGAATATTAGATGTTGAGCTCCTAAAATGGGCACCAGAACTCTGTTTGAATGATGACCTTTGTGCAAATGGCAGGAATCTATACAGAGGAGAGTGACAAACAGCCTGCTGAGCCAGACTGTCCTCTGCCTGAGAAAAGTGCCCTTCTCTGGGGACTCCTTGTACAAAACTCCTGAAAGTATGTGTCTATGCTCATTTTTATTCTAAATAGAGCAAGAGGTCATGCCTGTATGATGCCATCAGAGGAAATGTCTTTCCTCTTCCCCAGTGATAAACTCAGTGCAGTCATCTGTGATGGACAGAAGTTCAGTCCCCTCTCGTCCCTGGTGCAATTCAATGCCATGTCTTCCATCTTTAAGCACCACCAAGTATAGCATATGCCACTCCATGCTGCAGAACCACTTCATTCCTCTTGTACAAAAACTGTTTGTGATCATAACAAAATGTACCCAATGAGCCTCAGTGTAGGATGAGTGCTCTGACTGCATTGTGATGCTTGCTTAATTTCATTATTCTCACGTTTCAAAAAGGAGCAAATAAAACCTGGAGATGTTTAAGGCCAGGTTGGATAGTAACCTGATCAAATACTTGATCTGGTGGCAATGTGATCAGTACTTGTTCTAGTGGTTGGCAGCCCTACTTGTGGCAGGGGGGCTAGAACTTGATGATCCTTGAGGTCCCTCCCAAGCCAAGACATTCTGTGATTCTATGAAAACCATCTGTTTTCTGGAATGGCTACTAGGGTTATGATGGATAAGGAATGACTGTCTGAAGCTGTTAATGTCACTGTGTAAAATGATTTTCTTTTTTTCCCTATCTTGGATGTATATTCTCTTTCCTGGGAAAAAGCTGAAAGGTGTGGCATCTACACAGTTCACCACAAAATAGACAATTCTGGTGTGTTTCTGTTAGATCAAATCCATCAGAGACAGAGGAAGAGGGAACTCCAAAGAACATAGGAAATATCCTGCCAGGATTGACAAGGGTCAGTGCGTCCAAGGGCATGTGCTGTAAGTCTGGTTTCCTCCAGACCCCACTCTTCAGACACCTGGCAATCTGGAACAGCTGTATTAGAGATGTGAGAGGATAGTCATACTTTTAGGGTACACTTCTGGGCCTACAGTCCTTGAATTATTCTAATGTCTTTGGAACCTGCTAATAGTGTCTATCTCTAACATGCTTTCTGGTGGTAGACCTTGAAGAAGTCTGCTACCATCCATGTTACTTGGATTTCCCAAATTCAGGCTGGGGTTACATACATGCTTTGGAGGTGTCCTGCCTGGCTGTAACAAGCCACTGTACCTGTGAGTCCACGTGGGCACAGAGACATTGGGCTCCCAGGGGTTTCATTTCAGCACGTAAAACATGGATAGATGGTTGCTATCTGTAAGGTGAAGTGACAGCCTTGAGATTGTACCTGGGATTACAATTTTGCTTCTAGGATTCTGATTTTTACCTTGGAATTTCTCTCTCCACGTCTCTCCCTGTTCCCATTACTCTCTCTCTAAAGGTGATGCCTTGTTTCCAATTATTCTTTCAACAGGGAGTCAATTAAAGATTCCAACCTCAGCCAATCTGCAGAGCCCTATGATTGTACAGTGTGGACCATCACAGGAAAGAAAGAGAACAAGAAGCAGTTATAACCAATTCGTTGCTAATTAGGCTTGGCTGAGCCTCCTTCAACTGTCTCACACTGCTCTTTGTTCCTATGGGCAGTGGAAAGCAAAAGGGAGAATTTCACTTAAAGATTTGATTCAGTATTCTTTTCTTTTTGATAGAAACAGGGTCAGCATGCAAATGGTATTTTATTTTCTACACTGACAGCATAGCTACACAAAAATATTATGACCTGCTGCTGCCAAATGCAACTGAATGAATTATTCTGAAGCACTCCTGAGCCCGTCTTTGTCACAGTCTCCTATTTCAGTCCCTGTCATGCACTGTGCCTATCATTCATTATAGTTGATGGGCTGAGGGCAGAAAAGTGTCTCTTGTCTTGTTCTCTGGAGAATTTTGTCTTGGCTGTCTCACCTTCAATCACCGCTAATAGCTCTGCTGGCACAAATTCAGAGAGGAGCTGTGAGGAGACAATGAAAATATTTCACAGGGCATTTTATATTTTAATAGCTAGTTTTAAAAAATGAATTTGCTGAAGTAGATGAAAATGAAGATTGCTAAGAGAGATTTTTCTTACAAGCATTTTTTTTGCTGTTATTAATCTTTAAGCCCTCTGCATCCTTTTTACTTTTTCTCGTATGTACTGCTATAGGGATTGGGTTCTACTTTGTTCAACTAATAACCATTTATCTGACAAATTCATTAGGATGGTTTACTGTTCAATAGTACTATGCTGGAGGAAAGAACAAAATATCACTTTGTTGTGTAGGGCACTTTGTTGTGTAGCTTACTCAAATTTTAGCCTGCTGCCTCCACCTGTCTTTACAATGGTATGTGACCACAGGCTGTGCTTGTGGTAGGAATTCTGTCGCAGCTCTGATGTCTTGCAAAGGTCATAGCAAAAGAATGCGATGAAGCTCACCATTTTGGCAGAAGCACAGTGGATAACCCAAGTGAGATTAAAACTGTTGTACGGTCTTTAAGTTTTTTATGTTTTATTTAGTATAGTTTTCTTCTGGACTCCCAGGACTCCCAGTCTGGGTTTCTGATCTCTGATTGGCAGATAGAACTGGTGATCTAGTTCAGCTGGTGGATGAATAAAATATTATGGCAATAGTCTTACGTAGTTCAGTGGGTGTTTTTCCAGACAATGGTAATTAAGTGCATGCAGTAACAGAGACATTTGGTCATCCTTAGGCAAACACTATCAGAAGGCACAATGAAAATAAAATACAGATCTGTACGTACTGTCCAGAGTGGTATATAAAATTTAAATATGGATTGATGAAACTTCTGTTCAATCATTAGTTGCTAAAGATGATTTTTAAGATTATATGGATGATTTAATGATCTATTTCATTAATTGCTGTGTTTTCTTACTACCTATTTAATTGATTCAAATAAAATTATACGTTGTATGTTGAAGCATTTTTGAACTCTCTAATTGAAGTGTTACCTTTTCGATCTTCATTTCCCCCACCTGGATTGCAAGATTAGGGTTCATCTGGGAAGAAAATAGGGCATTTTAATGCTAGAGTTGGTGAAATCATTGTCTGCAACTGTCAACACAAAAATGACTCAAAGACAGATCATCTTGTTATAGAAGACTTGCTTCAGCAGTCTGGAACTTACATCCAATTTAGTTATGTCAAGATATTAAAGTTCCTTTTCAGTGAAGACGAGGTATGAAGTAGTAAAATAAACGTGTTTTATCCAATTTTAATGATCACCAGTTTTTAATTAGTTGCAGAAATGAACAGCAAAGAAATTTTGTTAAACATTTTAGCTGAGTTTAGGGATTGAAATATTGACTTCACAACTCATGGAAGTGTCATGGAATGCTGTGTCCAGGGGCACACCTGGTGAGTTCTGGCTGCTCTTGGGCATTTGGGAACAGGATCTGCAGCAGCTCAAAGCAACTCCCTGACCTGCATGAAGTGTGAGCACAGGTTCCTCCGTACTCAGTTTATAACTCCAGTGCTCCACCATGCTGTTAGCTGATGCAGAGTCCTGCCTGTATGGCAACATATGCTAGTCAGTCTGACTTTCTGCTCACTGTGTGTTATCCCAGCACGGGAATGGCTAACTGACACTTTACCACATGTAGTATGTACTGTTTTTGTTGTAGTTTCCTTGGGGTACTTGCCAATAAGAAGGACAGAGAAGGGTTGTGGAACAACATTTGCCTTTCATGTATGAAACTCAAGAACATGAGAATACATACTTACCTGGTGTAGGGAGCCTGCTTTGGCAGGGGGTTTGAACTTGATGATCTCTGGAGGTCTCTTCCAAGCCCTACAATTCTGTGATTCTGTGATTGATGAAGGTTAATTAGCATGACAGATAAAATACCAAGTTTTTTGGAAAGACAGAGCAGTATTTTTTTTTTCCTTAAAAAAATACTGATCTGTGAATGTCTATTTAAACAAAGATTTCAAGAAACCACGAATATATAAGGCAGCTCTTCTAAATGAAAGTGTTCCAACAAGGAGCAGAATCCCATTCTTTCATTT